TAGTTGATTTGAGATGGGCTAAGTCAGTTTAAACCTGGTGCTAGTACTTTGCTCATATGCTCTATACTGGTTGTTTTAGCGTTGCTATTTCACGCCTAAAACACTCATTAGAAATGTGTTTTTATTGATTCAAAGTTCTGTGCAAACTAGATTCTCATATATACAATTCACTATTTATGTACTCTTCGAAATTTTACATGAAGCATATAGGAAAATGAGGCGTAAGTCTGACAAGGAAAACTGTGTTGTTTTGAAGTGTCGATGTTTGAAACTTAATAACTACCTGGATATGATATATTTTGGCTTGTTTTCAATTGTAGTATATAGTAGCTAGGCTATTGTAGCTACAAAATTATTCACAGTGCACACACCCAAGTCATAGTTTTCATAACGAAACAGTTAGCTCCTTTTTGTCGGTTTTCAGATTATTTCAAAAATTTGGGGCGTTTAAAGGTATGAGTCTTGCTTTGGGTGCAAGAGGCCTGAGTTCGATTCTCGGAACACCTCCAAACTTTTTGAATTTTATGAATATTTTTGGACCATATACACTCTTTTAATAAAATGGTTTTTTTTTTTTTTATTTGACAAACTAGAATATTATTAATATTTTCTATAAACGTAAAGTTTTGCACTCCTGATCAGCGCGTCTCGCTACATAGTCCAAAAACCTAATTGTAATTATCTTTAATATCACTCTTGTGTCGTTACATTGGGGTAAATCAACTTAAAATGGTGAACATATATTAATTATCATCTGGAAATCTGGATAGTACATGGAGTTAATATTGATATGCTATATATGTTGATACTACTTGGCTATAGCTAATATACAGGTAGAGGACCTGCCAAAAACCCAAGCTTCTTACAATAACAAAAAAAAAAAAAAAATCAGCCTACTTCAACCAAGCTATCATCCCCTTGTTGCCATGGTCTTAATCACTAAGTTCTGAAGGTTGTCTTGGCCAGGTCAAATCACTTAGTTCTCCTGATCCCTTGCTTCCATGGTCTTAGTCACTAAGTTCCAATCAAAGCACTGAACTAACAAAGCGATAATCGTGAAGACAAGGTGCACAGCCAATGCCTCTTGAATCATTGTTTTGAAATTCTTGCTTGTCTATCTTCATCAGTTCGCTAAAGAATATCTCATTGCTTTTTACTTGTAATGTACTTATATATCAAGGCTTGTTCTTCGTTTATATAGGGAAAGATGAGTTGCTTGATGGTTAGTGATATTGATGTTGGGATAAGCAGGTTTAGTGGGCTCCTCCTGATCCCGATCCTAGTTGTGTCACCGAGTCAAAAAAAAATTGGGGCTTTATTAGTTAGATATTTGGTAAGCAATTTGATATCGTATAATTACTAGCATAAAGTCTATTTTCCTCTTGCACCATTGTTCTCATCTCAAGATATACATAGGCATAAAGTTTGGATATTTGGTAAGCAATCTTTCAATTAAAGGTACTTGTATTTTCTTGGTCAATATCGCTTCATTCCAATAATGATTCCAGGTAAGTACTTTAAAAGTTGATAATTCATTTTCATTTATTTATTTAACAATGTTCAAATCACAATTTGTTTTATGTAAAATGTACAATCCGATATCATGGTTGCAGGTGGAGCGTTAATTTCTCTCACTTATATGTTTCTGAAAGGATCATTGCAAGTGTGACAATGTTCTTAGTATGCTCTCAAAAACTCATGGATGCAAAGTAAGTGTTTTCTTCTTCCACGTTCCTTTTTTATTTTCTAAGCTATTTTTTTTTCTACAAGATTAATAAGTTCTATACATTAAATGAATTTTCTTCTATAATGATTGTGATCCTGATCCATTAGTTATATCGGTTGAAGACAATAGAAGTTGTGATACTGGAATTGCATGAGATGCAGGCTGCCCCTATTGTTGCAATTGGTTCTAAATCTTCGTGTACGTAGTACTTGGATTATATAGCTAGGTAAGTTCCATTACTGTATTCAGGATATGTCAAATGCATACTCTATTGATGCACACGAAAATACTCTACTTCAAAGATTCCTTAATCATTTTACTCAAACAGATTAAACAAAAATATAAATTTTCTCTACCATTGGCAAATGACAACCTTCTTTTCTTCTATGGCAGAAATGTTGCTAAACTGACGCATGATACTGGCAATAATCTTGCTTTATTCTAGGGATCAACTGTAGATGCTGCATGTCTTAGGCGAGGCAAAAGTGGTTGATATGATTTCAAGCTTCATTTTGTTCTCAATATTCTTAATCTAATTGTGTAGGGGAAGGATAATGGATTATCACATGGACATATTCAAGAATGTTGACATATTGGTAGCTCCAACAACTTGGTAGGTAGTTTCACTGTTAGCTGCATATCATATTTGATTATTACTTTTCTGAATAGTTTCGAAATGACCAAATTGACTAGAGTTAAGAGATTTTTCATATTTGATCAATTTGTAGGTTCTCGTTTTATCTCTTAATATTTATAATTATTAAGTGGACTTTAAATATTGTAGGGCGAAAAGGTTCTAAGTCCTGGACTAGGGAAATAGAGTTTCATTTTATATTGCGGCTGGATATGATCACATTCATATAGGGACAACTTACCAGCAACAGTTTTTTCAATCATAGCAGTAGCAACAAGCTCTAATTGACCATAATCTTTGCCAAAGGAGTAGTCATTGTTCATAATCTTTTGACCTCACCCATTTGTATATTTCCTAGGTTTCATTACTGTATGGCTCTATAAGAAGTTAATGCTTAATAAATATCATACTTTGTTTTGTTTTCTTTTCTTTTGGATGAATGCAGGATATATAACCTATCTAATCTTAATTTTTGGAAGTGCTACAAGCCATTGTTATTTAGATGGTTAGGATCATTTTATTAATCATATAGTTGTACTGAATTGGTTATATCTCTGTGGAGGCACATTGCATTGATCACCATGTTTTACATCCAGATATGTTTAAACATGCTTATTTTTTATTATTATTATTTTTTTTAATAGAAGTCTCTT